GCTCACTCTTTCCCCACTATTCTTGTTCTTTTTCCTCTTCCGTTTTAACTTCCTCCCTCTGGTCTGCACGAAAAAACCGAGAGGTCTGCACACCTATTCGGCAACATTTGCACAGCCACACGAGGGGTTGCTTACCAGGCACACAGGCGTGTAGGAATGCATTCATGTTTTGGTTACCTATAGTCTCCACGCACTGCGGGCAGTAGCACCACCCTGCTCCCTCCCTTGGTCTCCCCCGATGGTAATCCAGCCCGGCCATCGAGAGCTATTTGCGTGCTAGAAGCGGCGGCGTCGTATTGAAATCCGCGCGCCCCGGCGGCCGGCAGGTCGGGTCGGCTCAGCGCCCCCGCGGGCCTCCGGGGCCACTCATCTTGTTCGGGAGGGCAGATTAGTGCGCAGCAGGAGCGCTACGTGGCGCGGGTCGGGCCGGGGTGGGGGTGGAGGTGATAGGGGAGCAGGGAATCGTCTCCCCCTTCCCCCTCACCCCCTCCGCCCCGGAGAGCGAGGGCGCGGAGGGCAAGGAGCACAATGTAATGAGCGGCAGGAGGCGAGCATTCCGCGGTCCGCTAAACGATTCCTTAATCGCTGTTCGGCCGGACCCCGGCGCAGGGGCGCGCTGACGTGCGGGGTGGTGGTGGGAGAGAAGGAGGGAGAGTGAGTGAAAGAGAGAGAGATAGAGAGAGAGGGGGGGGGGACAGACAGACTGGCCTATCTGACGTGTAAGAGAGAGTACGCCTCCCCCAATACTAGTATATTCGCGAGTAGTGCACACACAGTACAGCAGTGCTGCTGCACTCGGCCGCGGGCCCCGCCTGTTGCACCCACACTGGCGGCGGTTGGTGCTCCGCAGTCCCTAGTGCAACCCATCCCACAACGAGTCCGCCCCCGCCCACCCCCTCCCCGGCCCTGGAGCCCCGAGCCCACACTCCAGTCAGGGAGAGCCGCTCTGCTTTTTACGATGTCCGCGCCGGGCCCCGCCCGCCCCGCCCCCCTGGAGGCCGAGCCGAATTTTCCCGCATTCCTGGGGCGCGGCCACTTTCCACGCATAACAGACGCTTGGGCCGAGGCCCAAATTATCCGCGTACCTTACGGTTCAGCGGGGCGGGGCGGGAGGGCGGTGGCGATAGGGTGGAGTGGAGGGCTGCGATGGAAGGGTAGAGAGAGAGAGAGGGAGGAGCTCGGGAGGCTGTAATTTGCGCGCGGGATGCGGCCGGCGTCAGTGACACTGCGGCGCGCACGGGGAACTGCAAAACAAAACATTAAAATACCGCAATCCATTTTGTCTCAAATAAATAAATAAGTAAGATCAACGCGGTAGAGGCGGTTTGGCTTTAGACGCATTATTGAGCGCGTTCGCCAGTGGCCCAAAGCAGCAAGGCCACATGGCCGATGGTCGGATGAGGCGAGAGCGGCAACTTTAACAGTGCACCCCGTGTTTTAATTTAACGAAAGTTTGACGAA